CACCAATAAGATGCGGACCTGACAACAATACACAAAGACTACGAGAATAATGCGCTCTGAATATTTATAACTCTACCAATAAATACCTTAGAATGTCGGTTCGTAATTTTCAATAAGTTCGGTATAAATTCGTTCTACAGCATCATCCCTATATCGTTATATCTGTTCAATACCATCAAAGAAGATGCCTCCTAAACCAGCCGTAGTAGAAAAGAAAGGCGAGAAGAGAGCAGGCAAAAAGGCTGCCATCGGTGACAAGAAGAAGAGAAAGTCCAGGAGAAAGGAGTCCTATGCCATCTACATCTACAAAGTCATGAAGCAGGTCCATCCTGACACTGGTATTTCCAGTAAGGCCATGAGCATCATGAACTCCTTTGTCAATGATGTSTTYGAGCGCATCGCTGGTGAAGCTTCCCGACTTGCTCACTACAACAAGAAATCCACCATCACTTCTCGAGAAATCCAGACGGCTATTCGTCTTCTTCTGCCTGGTGAACTGGCCAAGCACGCAGTCAGTGAAGGCACCAAGGCTGTCACCAAGTACACCAGCAGCAAGTAAACAGTTTTGAACTGTTTGCTACACAAAAACAACGGTTCTTTTAAGAGCCATCCAAATGAATCAAAAGTCATGACTACTATGCTGTCTCGACAACAAACAATTCCAAACCAAACACAAACAAATACATGTCCCTATAACGGCATGGCAAACATCRGTATATATAACTTGATTAAGATCATAGAAACTGTTTAATCCCTAGTAAAAACCGTTTAATYCTAGTATAACATAGATAACAAAACAAATGAAGCTTTAATGTGATAAGAAAACCAAAAGGAAAAAAATGAATTGCAGAAACCCGGTATCGTTTAACAGAAACAAATATATGTCGTTATAGCATCATGGCAAACAAATATATATAACATGATATAACGTCATACAAACTGTTTAATCCCTAGCTAGTAAAAGCTGTTTAATTCTAGTATAACACCTCTAGATAGAAAACAAAACAAAGCAAAACAAAAACAATTGAAGCCCCAATACTTTATTGCAATAAGAAAAGCAAAACGAAAAATTGAATTGCCGAAACCCGGGATTGTTCAGTAGASTTCCTACAAACTCTTCGGATTTGAACCAGGGACCTTCAGATCTTCAGTCTGACGCTCTCCCAACTGAGCTATTTCGGCAGATGTGAAATAATTAGGTTGTTTGTTTTTCTGAGATGGCCGGCGTTGTTTGGCGGTCAGCGGTCATTTTATGGCGAGGGAGGAGAATGAAGCGTGTTATCAAAAGGAAAATGTTTGTTTTTATCAACGTTTTAGTTTTGAGAAATAAAAATGTTGTATGGGAATGTAATCACACAGGGAGTGACAAAGGTAACGCATATATGGCCATGGCTTTGTGGCATTTGATGGCTTCTATAGAAGCCGTTGTTAGATTGAATATTTGTAGAGTGTTTAAGCTCTCTCTCCACGGATTCGGCGGGCAAGCTGAATGTCCTTGGGCATGATGGTGACTCTCTTGGCGTGAATGGCGCACAAGTTGGTGTCTTCAAACAGACCAACCAAGTAAGCTTCACTAGCCTCCTGAAGGGCCAT